CAGAGGGTTCCCTCTTCGGTACGCGACTTTGTTGTCAGAGTAGTCAGCATTTTTCACAGCGATGTGCCTCGCTTCGAGAATGTGTGTATGCGTGCAGAATCGTCGATTTACCATTGTGTGTTGATATGGTTGGTGCCGCATCGATTAGAGCCTTTCTCTGTGCATGAGGCGTGGCGCATCAGGATCAGATTATACGGTGTATATGTGGGTATGTGTATGTGTGTGGGTTGTTTTTTTCTCTTCTTCTGTCGCTACCGGAAGATTTGGAGCATTTCCATAAACCCACTGAATATCGCAAATTCATGTGCTCATCGGTATTTCGGATTGTCAAACCGACAAAAAAACAACACCAAAATTGCAGCATACAGAGAGCGAGACGATTCACATTTTCAGCTTCAGTAACCGCAGGAAATTTTCACCGAAAATACAATGTCATTTGGCGTTTTCATTTTGCTGCTCTTCAGTCGAATCAAATTAATTGATGTACTTTTAATACGCGTTTCGTTGCACCAACACATTTGCATAAACATGATGGTTTTGATTAATTAAATCATGGCACATATCAAACACTTCTGTGTGTGCATAGGCTGTTAGTGGTGTATTTGAGCGTACCAACATTTGAATGGGTCGCTTTTCACTCGGTTTTTCTGTTGTTGTCGTTGCTCCTGCAATTCAATCTACAGTTTATTGCATTGGAATGAAATTTCTGTGCATTCACACATTGCTGCCCATTTTCAATATTAAATTTTGCTGTTTTTTTTCCACTACGCAATAGAAATGTCTGCGTACTGTAAATTTCGATTAAAATTGGTACGTTGAACAAAACGTTTCCGATGAAAACTGTATTTTTCCAAGCGAACGAACCATATTTGAACAATGAAATAAAGCCGCCATTATTATGGAGAAGAATTGAGAATCCATTAAATTTAGCATGCGGCTAAATAATTAATTTTTTCGCTTGAATAGGAAACCAAGACACTCGTGACGAACGAAATGCTTTCGTTTAAGTTAAATGAAAAAACACATACACCGCAAGGGAAGTATTCCATGACTTCATTTTAGCATTATGATTCGAAATAAATTCCACTTTGGCTTCGAAAGCTGCATTTTTGCATCGTATTCGTAGCAAAATGTACGAAACGAATTTTTGGAACATATGAAATGCCATGTCCATTAAAAGTTTTTATTTGCGACATGCATGCTGATTCCATTTCGTAAAGAACCAAAAAAGCAACACACATACGGGAAGTATATCGATTGCACTGTACTTCCACGAAATGCTAGCTTTCTTGGTGTGGTGCAAAGTCAGATTATTTCACTTACAACCGGAAGATAGGTCTCACCGCTCAAAATATTTATGGTAGAAAACGAGAATGGTGTATAACATTAACAAGCACAGATGATGTGTGGAACCAAGGGCCAAAAAACACCATAAGTAGTAAGGTGGACGTAGTCAAAACGACTACGCAAAAGTACGAATAGAAAGGAGAGCAAGAGAGGGCGAGAGTGAGTGGAAAAAAACGTGACTAAAACATGGAACATAATTACCACAGTCGAAAGCATTAAATTTACATTCACATAATAATGCGTTTAAGCATTCTGGCACGCGGTATGCGTGTTTTCAAAGCGAACACATTAAAATTTACAGTCTTTACTCGCACGATACCCATTGCGCCGTGATGAAGAACGACGCGAAACGCTCCATTCGTCATTTAACCCCCTAAGCAAATTTCCCTTAAATACATATTTACATATCAGCATTGTCGTTTTCGTTCTCGTTCTCGTTCTCGTGCGTTTTATTTGAGGCCAAAAATGTATTGTGACGCGCGCGGATGTATAGTCGAATTGTCGTGTAATGACGCTAGCCCAATTTTCAAATCGGTCGTTTTTGGTTCGTGCTAAGCACACCAGAAAAAAAACGGCAAATTGACTTGTGTATGCGTATGACCCCGCATCACCACTGCTATCACACAAGTACATACAACATTAAATCAAATGTAGAAAGAAATGACTGCTATGCACCACCAAAATTTACACTCAATAGAATCATAACAAGAGCTTCCAATTATGAGCCAACTCTTGTTTTGAATTCGGGCAAATATAATGTAAAGAAATGCAAACACTTTCCCTCTGTTCTATTTGATATGTGCACAGAGTGCTGGAACAATGGGAAACCATGAATCGTTTCACAAAAGCCGCATACAGTCATTATTCACCAATTTTGAATTTTTGCTATTATCAAGTTTTGCATACACGCGGGCATAATAAATTCAAAGCGCCACAGTTTCAGTGTCAAAACTGTGCTGAACAATTTGGCTTCCGGTTTCTTGCTGCCAAAAGTGACGGCTTCTCACTCGTATATTCTTCACACCAGATTCTACAGCAAGAATTTGTTTCCAAATGAATTTTTTTGCTTCTTGTTCTGATATCATAAGATTGAGCTAATTCTCCCGAAGCCAAGTTTGGTATTAAAAATAAATACTGCTCTCTTTATTTTTTTCGTTAATGTCATCAATTTGTATGTGGTTTGTGTTTACGCTAGAATTGATCCCTCAAGACGATAATCAGAACTGCTAACGGTCGTTAGGCATATATGTATATACAGTTACTGTTGATACACTGAATCTGTGAAGCGAAAACAAAAATTATATTTAATCGAGCTGAAGAGCTTGGTAGAGAAGGCAAAACTAGCTGAAACTGAATCGATTTTAATGTCGTTCAGTTCACGCACAAACGCATCTTGAAAGCATACATTCACAGGCCAACCATACACTTGGGGCGCGCTACTATGTTTATATGTATACATATATGGTTCGAAATCTTATGGGGCCGAGGATTATATACATGTTTATATTTCAAAAACATCCGCCAAAACGTTCGACTATATGTTGATACAATTCGGCTAATATCTGATCCGCCTTGAATTGTGTTAGTGTGTTGGGTATTTTCTCTCATTTAATCGTGTCCCTTTCACTGAGTAGCACAGAGCAAAACCGCTTTGGCTACGGCTGTGTGCCCCATGTATTTTAACATAATATATAAAATAATCGATAAATGAATAAATTCCAGTTCATTCAACATAAAATCAATTTTCTCCCGGCTTCTTGCCATTTTTACCAAGTTTTTATTGCACATTATGAGAGAGAACCCTCAGCATACACACATACATGTATGCAAACACATGTAACTTGTCCAAAGTGTGTTTAATTTTTTTTCTCCGTCATCGTCATCGTTGTGGAGTTTTGTTTTCGTTGGATTTTCGTTTGAGCTGCTTGTGTTCAACGATTGTGCTCGTGTTTGTAATAAAATTCTCTTTTGTGCCCTTTTATTTGGCGTCCTTGTGTGTTTGTTGGATGCGGCCGTTGACGCTGCTCTCTCTGTGTGCTTCCATTGCCAAAAGCAAATGCGGAATGCATAAAACAGCGAAGGACATGTGCATGAATAGAAGAGATAGAATAGCGAGAGCCAGGAAGAAAGCACATTGTCTGAAAATGCAAACAAATCGACGGAATTAGACCGCTGCTATGTTTGTTTGCACAGGGCTAAAATCGAACACATTCGCATGTCAATTGGAATCAAATTGAATGTGTTAACGCTGTAAATGCGATATATGCAAAGTTGATTACCCGACCAAATACACACACTCAGCGATAAGATTCGACGATGAAATGGGATTCTTTTGGCGAAAATAAAAATCGATTGTGACGCTATTTTCAGCATCCCCTCAGCTCAAATCGTTTCGATTATTATCATTGTCTTAACAAATTTGAATCGCCCAGGAAAGAAGCGCATATATATTCGGTGGTAAGATGTACGCTAATGCCGAATACAAATTACATGAATGATGAACATCGCAGAACAGTAGAAAATGTGCAAATAACGTACAAATATAAATGTAGTAAAGCGTTTTATTTCGGTTGTATCGCCGAGAGTAGAAACACGATTTAAAATGCAAATGCACCCGATGATCGATGAAAATAAAAGGAAAAATAGAAAACAACAAGCAAAACATGCAAAATGCTGAGAAATATATAAAAAATGAGTTTGTCGATCTAAATAGTTGATATTGTAGCCGGAGCAGAGGAAAAAGCGCTAGTCACATGTACATTGCTACAGAGAAAGGAGAAAAAAATGCGATTTTTATCCACGCAACTGTATGGATGCGGAGCTGTTCTCAATACATACACACATCTGCTTGTTTTCCTATAAATGACACCATATTTCGCTATTTCCAATTCAAGTGGCTCTGAAGTTGATAGAAATTTTCCGGAGGGTTGCGTATTTCTTTCGTTCGCTTTTCGTAACCGTACTCAGCGACGCACGTCACCAGTTGATCGGCTGGTACACAGTACATTTCACCATTCGCTACTTCGGTCATACATTCGTTCATGCGAATCAAAGCAAACTGTGGCTCGTGTGTACGGTTTACCAGTTACAACGTGTGTGCGAAGCGGTCGAATTTTTGCGAAGTGAATTGTCGTCTTAGTTCGCGCCTTATGTACACACGTTCTAACTGGTAAGCCGTACTCACACTATACTCGCATCAACGAATATATGACCGAAGTCGCAACTGGTGAAATGTGCTGTGTACCAGCCAAAATTCTGGTAACGTGCATCGCTGAGTAGCACTGAACACTTGCATACACTGAACGGTTCTATATTTCTTTTGCTGAAATGCCACATTACAACTACAATGAAACGAAATAAACGACAACGACAGTGTGCCGTTCCTTTCATTGTTACAATATATGGCGTCATATGACTCGCTCTCAATCGTTATTTGTGTGCCTGTGTATGCGTGTGTGTGTTTGTGTGAATGCATGGCCTGACTACCGACGTTCGTTGTCGTGGTACCACTGAAAATGTATTGGTTTTCCAGTGGCGCGTTGGTCGCATTTTACAAGCAATGGAAGACGAAAGGAAGCAAAGACCCAATAAAAAAAATGAACGACTGAGGGGTTGCTACGTTATGCCATGAAATACACGAAATGGAAATCAGTAGTCAGACGGTTTTGTGGCTCCGTGAGTGATACTCGCGTTACAACTGTACTGCTCTCGTTGCAACATTCACAAACGTTTTTTATCGGTTTTTACGACATTTCGTGCGTTCAGTTCAGTGTATATCCGACTCAAATAGGCCGAAAGATATGAAATTTGGTGCACTTTTTTTTCTCTGACTGTGAAACGAATCGTGTGTCGACTTGAGACATATATGTATCGGGCCAGTATCATTTCCCAGTGAGCCATATCTATATATTTGCCATCACGTCATTCAGTCTGCAACTACTTCTATAAAATATTTATCGTGAACAACACAAAGCGAAGTGGAGTCGTATATTCCCTTTGATATCTGCAGTAGTGACGGAAAAAAGTTGTGGATATAAAAATCAAATTCAAGTGTTGAAAAAGATTCTTTGATCATTTTTTTTCTTCTTCCGTTTGCTTTAAAAGTAAAAGCAATCGATATTAAAAAGTGGAAGATCGTATTTTCGTTTTCTTTTCCATCGGTGAGTGTGGTTCAATTTCCACCAAAAGTTGGTCGCATCGTGTGAATTATAAACGTGACAATTTTGTACGGTATTTTCTGTCGATTTGATGTGAACGGCACAAAAACGAAAGCGCAAACAAAAAGCGGAATACAAAAATCAATTCGTTCAGTCAATAAATGATGTGAATTGAAATATCAAAGTCACAATTGAATCTATGGCATGAATAAAAGCATATAGTTAAATACAATACACCAGCAGTAAAAACAACAAAAAGTCAATAGAGCCAACAATATCAATACATAGAGTGTGGCATAAATAGCGAAAAAAGCTCCGATTGGTAAAAGTGTATTAAAAAGTTTATTAAATTGATTTGAATTAATATCCATAAATTAATTATCATCCACAGTGATAACGTGCCTATTTTCAAGAGCTTTTCCATTAGACTACCCCGATGCACGTTTTTATTGTTAAAAAATTGAATTTGTACAAGAAAAAGCGATGACTTTTATTTAGACATAAAAACTCACTCGTGCACATACACAGAGCGTGAGAAAGAGAGAAAGACACAGTGAGTGCATTATTTTCCAGTATATTATGCTGAGTCACATAAAAGAAGCTCGGCTTTACTTGAAAAGTGCATTTGGCTGATGAAAACGGTGGTTGAATGACATACGACAAACAATAGGATCCAATATCATTGTTAAAAGCAATTGCACGTGCATAATTCACATAGTTCACCGAATGAAATATGTATTTCCTTTAGACCGTACAAAAAAGTTTGTGGAAAGAAAGAAAACAACAGCCAAACCAAAACGAACATACACATATAGATATTGCGAAGGGAGGATATATTGTAAAAAGCAACAAAACATATCTTTTAATGGGATTCTTTTCCGTACGTTTGTTGTGAGTGTGTATGTGTGTTTTCGTTGTGTAAGCAACTGACATGCAGCTCAAGTTGCGCTAAATTTTTAAATAGTGCATTATCTGTGTCTAGCCCAAATAAATAAGTTGAAGACGTTTCGTGCAATAGTGGCTCAGTGCTTCTCCTATCAAATATATCGTTTTATGCACTGTATGTAATTTCATTTGATTCAAAAGACATTCAAGATCTATATAGATATACAGAACATAAACGATCATGTGCACTGTAAAATGTAAGTAAAGATTCTCTTTCATGCGGTGGCAACAAAACAAATATTTATTTTAGTGGTATACGAGCGCAATGTTCGATGCTGTGCCATTATCCTTCAGTCGTTTCTTGTTCTCTTTTTTTTATTCCTTTGATTTGTAATCCTTCATCTCCGTAATCCCACTTTCGATTCACAAGTCTTTTATGTTGTATAAACTTACTGATTCCTTTCATATTTCTGTGTTTTTTTCGTCTCTTTTTTCATATTTCTATATTTCGCTTTTATATCAGCCATCAGAACAAATGCTTACCTCATTTTCGTCTTTGCCCGTCAACCTTCCGGTTGATTCACATATTCTCACATCCATTTCGATCCATTTAATCTATTGCTCTGACAACTCGAACCTCTTAATCCTGTCACTTAGAACATACACTCACAAGGTTATTTTATGTCAACATGTTCAAGATTTCTTACCAAATTACCGCAAAGCTGAATGAGAAACATTATGTTTCCAACAGATATCTTTTGGTTTTCATCTCAGCAGCACAAAATTCAGCGGTTTCGTTTCATATAGTAATTTTGAACAATTGTCAGAAAATACTCAAAATACAATGGGTATGTAGAGACGAGTGCTTTTATGTAATCGCTCTCGAAGATAATCTCATTAAATTATTCCACTAATGCATCCAAATTCGATTTTTACATCATTTTTATTCATTGCGCACCACAATCGTTCTCTCCCGCTCGTAGGCTCCACGAAAAATAAACAATGCATAATTTATGATGAAAAAAAAATCCCTGGTAAAAAAAATGCGAACAAAGCGCACAACAGATTTTGACTGATTGCGCCTTGTTGGCTGAATATCATATATATACGCGTTGGAATTGTTTTCAATCTCATCTCATGAAATACAATCTTGCTGATTTTGGGTTCGAATCAAGGAACAAAATCAGCCGATATCGTATGCCTCTGGAATAATCAATATTGGTATAGTGATGGTGGTGTTAGTGGTGATGGTGATGGTGGTGGCATGTAATTGAAATTTCGAGCTCCAAAATGAAATATTGCCATGCATTTGATATTATTTGGTTGGCGTCATTTATATTGATTTTCCACCAATTATTAAACCAGCCCAACCGAAATTATGGTTTGAGTTAAGTGTTCCAAGGAAATGGAACAAAGAGCGCCAATTTCGACGTGAATATCTGTTCGAAATGAATACTTTTATTTATTCGGGAATAATTTGAGTTTGACAGAAAGAGTGAGAATACGTAAAATGATATGTTGATCAATCCATCATCATAAAGACTTGCCACGTGAATGATAAAGCGAATTACCGAAATTTACGTATGAAAAACGTGTGACTGGTTCACACAAATGGGAATGGAACGCCCGCGTCGCATCAAAGGGGTTGATGTGCTGTCTAAGTGGATATCGATCTGCATTCGAACCAAACGCATGGGACATTCAAATGGGAATTCATAACAATCAGAAGAACCATTGGATGCTTTTCATATACATACATATTTGCGCCGTGAGCTAGACAAACATAACAATTTACGTCGTTCGTATATTTTTATATAGATTAAATTGTTGGGTAATCACATATATTAGATGGTAACGTGACTGTGAAACGCGTGTCGTTTATTTGTCAGCTTGAGAGGAATATCATTGGGAATATGCGCGGCTGTTGTGAGCTGACGCCACCGACTGATGTATATGAAATCTGTTTAATTCATACATTTGCGACGAACACAGATGATTTTTCATAGACACGTAAAATTCATTGGGGACAAAATCAGGATGGATTAGATCTTATTTTGCCGGAAATCATGTGCGCCACAATTGCTGGGAAAAAAACTGTTCAAACACATATTTTGATTCAAAGAAAATGTACATTAATTTAATGAAGATTCATATGGAAATATGTTTATTGTAATTGCAACTAGATGTGTCTTAAATGATAAGTTTCGTTTCATTAATCACATTGTCGTGCCAAGTGGAATTTCTCCGTTAAATTCCATTTGCGATAGCAACACAGTGTAAAAATCATTTTCCTCGACAAAATTAGACATTTCTCTACAATTTAAATTCAATTTGATTTATTGCTCGTTCACTCGTTCGCTCGCTTTTGCGCATATGCAAACACACAAACAACACCAATGAATAAAAATATGTATGCGTTCAACGTAAAATCCAGTTTATATTTGCATGAGATAATTTTAACCAATTTCTGGAGCACGGTTTTCGAGAGCGTTTAAATTTAGTAAATGAATACCCAAACTAAATTAGGATATGATAAGAATATCCGTTTACGTTACAGAAAGACGTCACACAGACTGGCACTGAAATGTAGACTAATTCAGACGGGAAATTTCTTGGAACTATTACGTAAATTATATGAATTGAGTTTGATATTGGGGTTCTTTTCTGTCGTGTTATCATCTCGAATTCATTTATGGAATTGAAATAACCCGATCCACGTCATATAGAGACGAGAGATTACAATATTGTATTTTGAAACCGTAATTACAACGTACGATAAAAGTCAGATGGTTTTCGTTATTGTTTTGAGCCCAAACTATTTGACTATTTACGCTGTGAACGTATCGTAAATTAATCGAAAATGCCGGATGTGTGCTAGATCATTTGAATTTCAATAGCACCGACGCATTCCAATTTTGAGGTATTAATTTATTGATTTGAAACGGCAACGCTTTCGCAAGAAGTCTAGGCGTTTCGTCTATTTATATTGATTATGTATATTAGATAGTTGTTGAATGAGTGTGAAGCTTCCAGGCTACAAACTCGTCATATTTTAAAGTTTCTCCATCAAACTCGCTTTAATTAGATTTAGTCACTGACGCTCGTCTATTGATTCAAACTCTTTCTGGCCAAACATTTCCATGAACTGCCATAAATGGCGTACAAAGTTCTGCTACCGGGATAACAGGAACAGTTGATTTTTCATCATGCACAAATTAAAGTGATGACGCAATTTTTTGCCCGAAAGCTGAGGGAGATTCGAAATAATTATATTCAAATTGTCAACCACTTGATAACTGAATAAGAGCTGACATTTTATATCTATGTGGTGAATCGAATGAAACAGATTCCGCACTTGTTTGTGTTTCTCTTCCATTTTCTCATTTATTTTTTTCTACCTTCAATCCAATTCCGTTCGTTTCAGAAGCAAATTAAAAAGTTATCCATAAGCGTGGACTAACGATACTTGAGTAAAGTGTGTTTGCTGAACCATTGACTTTGGTTCATTAAGGCTATGTGTATAATTTGTGTATGTGTATACTTTCAGAAAAAACTTTTCAGCACAAAAAACTAGAATGAAGGATAAAAACACAAAGTGGTCAGAAATAACAATGTTCCACTCTTGCATCATGACTTAATTTTTGCAACAAATAATGAATTTTCTCGGACAAATTAGGCCGCATTCGTTAACTATTGACCCGTCAACCAGCCACAGCACAATACTTTTTCGGCATTTGTTTAGGTTGAGCCTGTGGTTATCCATTGACAAAATATTTAATTGGTCTTTGAAATAAGTCAAAGGGAACCCTTAGCCACGCTGTGTCCTCTTATTTTCAATCAATACACAGCTCTGCTGTGAGTATTTGCTGCCGCGCCGAACATCAAGTCAAAACTTTTTCTTCGCCTTTTTGCTTTCTTCACACAGCATGAAAGCAAATAAAATAAAGTTTTATAGCTACTAGAAACGCCATGCCACAGAATAAATAAGTCAAATCAAACATTAAATCTGATTCAATAAGACTTCATTGAATTGCTGGGCGGTAATTTTATTTCTACCTTTCAAAAGGTGTATTGATCCGAAAGCATTGGAAATTGCGTACACTTCTTTAGCGCAAAAAAGAATTCTAGGACATCGTAACGGTATACTATGCAAAAAATGAAATATGTTTGATTGATGTTTCGCATCCAATGTTTAAATTAACTCCATTTGAATGGAAAAAAGTTAATTTTATGCAGTTAAGTGGACACTTCAACATGTTTTCATCAAATGGAGAGACGAAACATACATTTAATGATATTCAAATCGAGTGAAATGTGAATTCGAGGTTTATTAAGCGCGTTACTCGGAGAACTGTTTGTTCGATGCCCACAGGATAGACAATTACGATAAATGTTATTCATCCCTCCATTTGATTGTGATAAATTATCTGGATAGATCTCGTTTGGATACGTAAATGAGTTAATTATGATTCACTTGTCAGTTGTCAGACACACAGCATACACATGTATTTATCACATCGAACGGTGAAACATGACCACCGCTCGCCATCGGATGGACGTGCATAAATAAAAATTATTCTGTCATTTTTGTTATTTATATGTAAATGGAATTGACGCCTTCACCAAATCATGCAAATATTGTATCACTTTATTCAAATCGCAAGCGTAAATAAAACTGTTTTTTTTAATTGCAATTTTCGGAATGGTGCAAAATATTGGCGTGCCATGCTGATTTCGATTACCATGATTTAGGTATGTTTGGTTTGTGATGAATATTTGTTTTGCATTCACACAAACACAAAAGCGAATATTTGTGTGTGGGCGAAGTGTTTGTATTTGAAATTTAGTCCCACAAATAAATTGGTTTTAATGCAGACAACTCACATATCGGCATGAATGATTCGCCCAAAACGGGAACGTTATGGTATTGCTCCTTTTTGACCTGAAAAAGAAACACGTTTCTATTTCGAAAGCTTGTCGATTTAGAAAATTGGATAAAATTGAGGTTACGAAAATGTGCTTGTCGAGCACGAACCTTTTAATATATAATAATAGAATAAAACGTTATGGGTTCAAGCACTGTCCCTCTTCTTCTATTCACACCGTGAGTGTCTTCGTATTTTTAGACTTGTGTGCATGCACCAAGCTCATCAATGTCGATACAATTTTAAATGTTTATTGATTTTTCCGCAGTCATTTATATAATCTAACGTTATTTATAAATGCCTCCCCGAAAAAAACTAGCTATTCGTTCGGG